CTGATGGTGGAACATCTTTCTACATCTGATGAGCAGAGCAGAGAGAAAAAGTCTGGAGACATGGAGATAGTTCAACATCTGCAGGACGAGGAGACGGCTGAGCTCTCGTGATGGGAAGTCGTTGGACATGCTGGTTCCTGGAGGTTTTTGTTTTACTAAAATAATCAAAGAAACTGAACTTTTCTCTGGTCTCCATGGTTCTAACTGAGTCCTGCTGACAGAAGACGTCTCTGAGTTCTCTCTCCTTCATGTTGTTCTGGTTCCACAGAGCTGCAGGACTTTGTGTTGCAGAAAAACATGACACGGGAACAAATAAAAAGTCCAGAACCTGGTGTGGGTTCAGAGGGTTAAACACTGAGCTGCTTATGAAATCAGAACATTTGGTCTTCAGGACATTTTCATCCGTTCAAAATTATTTATTTTTTATTTTCGTGTCGCTAAATAAAGGCAGCTTTGTTTCTTCTTGTTTTCTTGTTTTTGAGGCGGCTCTGCTCGATTCTGTTCCTGTACTCAGCTTGAAGCTCCACACCGATTTAAACCAGAACCCCAGAACCCAGAGAGACAAGCAGCATCAGAACCTGCAGGTAGAACTCACCTGGTCGCAGCCGGCGTTCACCAGATCCTGCAGCATCTGCCGGTTCACCTCTCCGGCTCCAGCTGGGTGTCCTGACCCGGAGGACGGACCCGACTCGTTGGCGAAGGGCATCAGGGACTTGCGGATCTCCCGCAGGGCGTTCTGGTAGTTGTTGAACTTCTGTGGCGGCCGGAGCTGCTGTTGCCGGCTGCTCGGGTCTTTGCCGCCCTTACAGTCGGCTGCTCGGCCGCCATCGGCCCGCGACCCGTGCAGCGCCTGGCTCACCAGCTTGGCCGGCTGCTTCAGGCCCTCCTTGATCTCCTGCAGCCGCTGCCGGGTGTTGCCCACGTACGGGGCAGCCGGGAAAGTCTTGGGCCTCATGGCCTCAGCGTCGGAACCGGCACCAACAGGAAGCACCGACTGGAACCAACAGATCCGTAAAGTGTGGGAGCCAAACAAATTGGAGCCTCCAGCAGCAGGATCAGAACCTCGTTGGTCTGTCTGTGGGTAGTGGAGGTGGACAGAACCTACAGCTGCTCCATGGTGCCGCTCAAGGCTCGGGTTCCAGCTTATTCCAGGAGATGCAGCCGCTCACGAGGAAACCGCCGAGAAAAACCATGACGCTGCTGACGTGAGCCTGAGGAGGAGAGTCAGCGTTAATCAGCTTTAATCACAGGAACGTCGTGTTCTGACCACATGTGGAGCAGAAACCCGAGAGTTCTAACGTTCTGCTGCAACGTCAGATGAACTAGCTGGAATCTCAGACATGTTGCCTTGGAGACAAACTGTCAGAACCACTGCAGAGATCAGTTCAGTCTGGACTCAGATTCCTGCTGCATGATTCAGGAATGTTAGAGGTCATAAAACACCAGCTGCCCCCGAAGCAGCAGCGCAGCAACGCAGCTGCACAAGTGGCTGCATGTTTCTGCTGCTGCGTGTTTCTGCTGCTGCGTGTTTCTGGTGGTCAGTGAACTCCTCCTGCTGCTCTGATCAGACATTCAACACGTCAGTCTTTGTGCAGATTCATGCAGCAGCAGCAGATCAAACCCATGTTTCTGTTTGTGAGGCCTGAAGTCCGACATGAAGCTTCTGCATCTGCATCGGCACAAAGACAGTTTGGGAGGTTTGTTTCAGCTCAGAGGATCACAACAAACAAAGATTTTTGAAAGCTTTCAGCAGGATTTATATCATTCAATATTTCAATATGTAACATTTTCACACTTTATAAACTGTAAATAATCAGTTTGTGTGTTTTTACTGGATGGAAAATCTCTTTAAAAGAATTCAGACCATGAACTCCCTGATGGAACATTTCTCTTGGCGCTAACTGTAGCAGCGCGCTAACATGCTAATGTTGACTTAGCATCTAATCATCATGCTAACGTTTGCTAATTAGCGCTGAGTACAGCTGAGGCTCGACTGGCTCAGGTTTGTATTTTCACAAACCAAAGAAACTGAAATTTTGTCCTGATTTTAGAGTTTGATGATAATTTAAATGTCACCAAAGTTACGGTTCGTCCTCAGGGACACGAGAACGTCAAACTAGAGCTTCTGTTTTGGACCAATGGAAGGCAGCCGACAGGTAAAAACAGAAAAGGAAGACGATCAACAGTCTACAAAGGTCATGCCTTCTACGTTTCGGTCACATAGTTTAAACCTGAGCAATGAAACGATAAATCAGGTTTAGCTGCAGCACTGATCACAACAGACCATAATATCCTGACATCCACCATTTATCAGAGCCAGAAGATGTAAAACACAATGAACTTTTATCTGTGATGCAGCGTTTAGTTGGGAAACAGATCTAATTCAGTCAGAACCACTTTATTCTTCAGGCCTCCAGGGATAAAAATAAACTGTTGCTGGAATCAGAGTCCCTAAAAAACTGAAGACTTTGTTCTCCTCAGTGCAGCAGTGAAGCCATCAGAGACTCAGCGTGAAGCACAAACCTCTGGGACGCCTCAGGTTAGCCGGGCTGAACTACCGGCAGCGTATACAGAGGAGTTAACCAGTAGAACTAGTAAACCATACATAGTGTGTAGAGCCACTGGGTCTGTGACACAGTGAAGAAAAACAAGACAGAATCCGTTCAGGGTTCAGGACTACTTTATCCTGTTTTTATTCATTATAATTATTAATTTATGTAAATGTATGCATTTGTGTGTTTTTTATTGTTGTGCTAACATTTAAATTGTTCAGTTTTTATGTTAGTACGCATTTAAAATACACCATCTTTGTCTGTTGTTAATTAAACTGATGAATTAAAGAGTCGGACTTTGGTTGTATTAAGACGTGTTATTATAAGGAAGCTGTTTAGCTGCAGCTGATCACATGATCAGCCTGCTGATGTACTGACACCATTGATAACTGAATGATCCGCATCAGAAACGTATCAGAAAACAGCAGCTCAACGGACTTTAAACAGCAAAGATCTGAACGTCTACGCCTTTACCGCCCCAGAATGTGAATATTTGTGTCCAGCTTTAAGGAAATCATAAAAGTCTGATCAGAAGTGTCAAGTTTCACTTTTTACAGTCAATACTGACACCAATAATCAATAATCAGACAACGGTATTTATAACCAACATATCTGATTTAAAAATACAATCCTAGAGTCAAAATGTAGAAAAACACAACTCTGACAAGACGTTGCTGAACCCTGTTGACGTGTTGAACATGTTTAACTCTTTAAACTCGTACCAGCAGGTTCTGGGTGATTTCATCTCCTGATTCATGTCCCTCACTGAGGTTCATGTTTCACTATGAAGCTCTGAGGAACCAGAACATGAAGGAGGAGAGAGAACTCAGAGATTCATTTATGCAGCCTAACAAGGTTATAAATTAAATAAAAAAATTTGGATTATTTAATATTACAACCATCTCTCTGAGTGCTGATGTGTTACTAACAGGGAACAGAAAAAGTTCAGCCCAGTCCTGACAAACGTTTACCCGACAAATGCAGAATATTTCAGCTTTTCACAGAATCTGGTGAATGAACATCTTCAGATTTTAGGTTTGGATGTAGTTTTGTTTTCCGACAGACTGAAACAGCACCGATGAGTCCAGGAACCGTCTGGACGTCGAAAATCCAGAAATTCTTCCTGTTTCTGGCTCTGATTAATGGTTTAAAGGCTAACGTGACTCTCAGAGGTTTAACTAAAAGTCGTTTATCCTTCAGTGCTGATTGGCTGTTGCTCATGACGAGGAGCCAATCAGACGGAGAGGCTGCATCACAGCATTTTAAAATGTATTTATTTGACCAAGAATCCTTCAAAAACTAAACGATATGAGAAAAAATTACTAAGTTTGAGCTGCAAGTGTTTATCATTTCTACTGTTAATTAATTAATTAATCAATCAGCTGGTTGGTCTAACATATCAGAAAACTGTGAAAATGTGGATTCAACATCTCGTTTCGTCCAAAGATGTTCAGCTGACTGTCACAGAGGAAAGAAACCAGAAAATATTTACTGAAGAAGCTGAAATCAGAGAATTTAGTTTTTTTGTTTGTTTGTTTGTTTTTGTTCTTAAACATTCAAAACAGTCGATTAACAACTTGCGGATTAATTTACCAGCTGATATCTAATTGATACGACAGTGGGTCTGGACAGCAGCAGCTTCACACCGACCGGAGACGCCAAACACAACATTCATGTTTAAAGTGACTCACTTCTTTGTTTCTCAGTCAGTTTGGTTGAATTCAGCTCTGACTGGCTCCTCTGGCTTCAGCAGTAACAGCTCTCAGAACAAACTCTGTAAAGTTAAGATCATGTTCTCTGGTGAAAGTGGAACCAACTGATAAAAAAATATCTTTTAGTGTCATTATGTTAAACGAAAAACTACATTTAAGCTGCTGTTGGTTCTGATTAAACTCCACAGACAGGAACTG